AATAAAAGACAAACATCATCGAATATTGACGATTCTTTTTTTTTTCTTTTCTTAATTTATCATATAAAACAAAGAAATGAGCTATCATATTGTTTATGATATAGTTATTTTTATAAGCGTAAACTATTAACATGAAAATATTTGCATGGCTTGGTCTAATAATCGTACTCATGTTCGATGGTAAATTTAAAAAAATTATCATTTAGTTTTGTTATTAATATTTATGTATAGGTCATCAAGGCAACATTTTCTTGTGTTAACTTTTGTTATTATATACATTCCATTAACAATCGTAGCTCTTGTAATTCTTCGTCGTAGTTCTGTCAATTTATCTAATCAAGCTGTTCATATAAAACCGTTAACTGTTGGTTCGTCATATTCTTTTCTTCTATCTTTTACCATTAATTGTTTTTGATTTGATTGATCTAGCATTTTCTTTTAATGTTACGTATGTGTTAGTTGATGAATCTATTCGATCATTTACTGAATTTAATTTAAATTCTGTTGATCGAGTTAAACTAGCACGTGATGTAAACAGATATAACAAAAAATCTTCTCTTTAGGTTTATCAAATTTTCTGTTTAGTTTGAATATGGTCTTGGTCTAAGTGTTCAAAATGTATTAAAAATTCATAATATTTCTCCAGTTACAATAATCGGAAAAAAATCCAAATCTCGACATAAAAGATTGTACGTGATTAAATTTCCTTTGTAAAAACTTCCTGCATTTTTTATTAATAAAATAGTGTAAAATGTGATCCAAATGGAGCAAAAGGGCCTGCTCTTATCTTTGATTTTAATTTAACTTATCCAATAGATCATATGTGTAAAGATGAAAAATGTATTAATCAAACTTTTGATGCAGTTTCTAAAAAATTTCGCTCTGTTCCATCATTATCAATTGATTTTGAAAATGTATCGAGAGAAATACGCTTATGTTCAATGGATATATCACCACCTTCTACAAGTAATTATGTGATAATTAGTTAAGTATTGTTTTTTTGAAAAAATATTCTTTAGCTATTCAACCATCACGAGTACCTACTTCATCATTATCAACAACATCATATACGCGAACCTCTACAACAGTATATGTATCAAATGAAGATCCTACTTTAAATGCATCAGTATCAAATGCAACTATGTCATATACTGAAACATCTACTATATCTGTACCGTCCACAACGAATACGATAACTACAAGTGAAAGTTTAAATTCTACATCAAATCAAACTATTTGTATGTTTCAGAGCACTTTATCCTCGTTTCCGGGTCTCTCAAGAAGGATACGATCAAAAATTCTGCAACTTTCAGGGTAGATAGATCTTAACTAGTAGAGCAAAAGTTGTCATCGATTTAGAGTTCCCAAATGTTTCGTTCTAGAAGATATAAGAGACACACAATCCAAAAATGACCTAAATTTCCCAGCGAACACCTATAATTTGTTTTTCTTTTTTTGTAACAACTAGGACAATCCTTCGCTTAGAAGAAGCAAAATACAAGACCTCTTGTCAACAAACATGTTTTTATTTTGCTTAGAGAAAATTTTGTAAAAATCTGCCAAAAAACACCAGAATATTATTATAAGAAAAAAAAAATCTATATACAGACGCGTTTGAACTTAGTTCTCAAACAAAAAACTTAAGCTTAATCAGCTGAAGTATCTGGAGAAAAAAAGGAGGAAAACTTCAATTTTTTGTTCAAAATTGTAATTTTGAGAAAAACTCGAAATCATGTCTAGTTTTCTTTATTTTGATTTTGCTCTCGGATTTTTTAATGTTTAAAGACAACTTAAGGATTTGAAAATGTACTCAGTAGAGAGATATTACTTGAGACTATACAACGGCAACAAAAAACTAAGAATTAGCAAAATAAACATTTTAATTCATGAAAGGAGAAATGTCCTAAATTAAATAGAATATTTCATTTATTATTATTTGTTTTTTCTTATTAGCTAATATTACTACTTGTCTAGAAAAGATATCAATGACTCAAGGTAAATAATAAAAAAAATATATATTTTTCTCGAGATTATTTGTTTTGTATTAACAGAACAAGTACCTCCATGTCGAATATTGCATACTAGTACATTATTTTTTCAAGATGATCGAACACTTGTTGTTATTGGTGCATCAAAATTTGAAACTATTATTGATATGCAAATAATAAAAAGACAAATTATAATTGATGGTGTTATGTTATATACAAATTGTCAACGAATATTAGATACATCATCGCCAGTAGTCTGCTATCCTTCTACATCGTCCTAATTGTGAATAAACTATGCAGTTTGAAAAATCAAAATGTCAAAAAATATTTTTTATTAATTTTTGTAAATTATGTCATAATCAAATAAAAATAACGAGTAGCCTTGTAAATAGCTGCATTCTTAATATTTTCAAAACTTTTTCTTGATTTTTTTCTTTTATTGGATTGAAACAATTTTTCCTAGATCAAGACATATGGAAAATTTTCAATCGGAAATTTGGAAGAAGTCTAGTGATCGAATCTGGTGGTCAGCTCTGCCGAGTAATAGCCGATTACGATCGAAACTAGAAAAGTGCGGTCACCAGATCCGATCATCGAATTCCTGCTTTCAAGTTCCTACCAATATTCCGAGTTTTCTAGTGTGTATCTGACGGAATCATTGACATAGGTTTTTATCAAACGGTATCGTTTGAAACTGTGCACAAAGTAATTTATTATATTTAACGAAGAAAGCATTCTCCATAATGGTGAATCGAATTAAATCGCACATTAAAATTAAGTATAGAATATAGATATTTTTCTTTTTCAATTCTTTTGACAGAGCGTTTTTTTTCGTCTCTGAATGTTGCTTTTGTGGTGCTTATTCATATTCTGTTTTGTTTTTGTTTGAACTGTCTATGTGGAGGAGTGAGATGGTTGAATAAATTGATATAATCATCTATGTGACAACTGTCGCCCGTAGAATAATTGGTATAATGTGTGCTATAGTGGCTGTGCTTTTTTTGGAAGTATTGTGTCAAAATGAGTGAATATAACCAAAACTCTCAGTCTGTGCTCATTTTAGGTTTTTTTGAAGTGTTTGCAATTACTTCAAAAAAACTGATGGCAGATATCTAACATTTGTGGAGAGAAGTAGGCTTGAATGCTTATCAATTATTAGTTTGTACATTTTAAATCAAATTAATTAATTTTAAATGATGGCGTTTACAGTATTCAAATTAATATCCAGTGTGATTACATTCGAGAATTATCTCATCTTTTCTAATATCAATTATTAGGCATAGCTTCAATAAGTTTTATAATCATTTAACTCCATGTTGTCAAATTTAATTTAATAGTTTACTTATTTACGAGGAACAAACAGTTCGGGTCCATGACCTACTGACGACGAGTTGTATTCGTTCTACTAAAATTTTCATTGATAACCACTCATCCCCGAAACTAAACAAAATGAAAAGTTTTGCCCTAAAGTTTTGCTTGTATGGCAAGTGAGTTTAGAATTTAATCTAGCATTTTGTAATTCTGTAGCACAAGATATTGTGAGTGTATAAACAAGACCAATTGTTTTATTATCAATATGATTTTATTGTATGTTAAAGTTCACATCCCAGTAGAAGTGTGTTTAAGGTGTTACTCTATATATAAACAATAATAAGTTGACTGTATTCATTTTTTGCAATAGATTATATATTTCGATAATGGCCTCTCTTTTTTTCTGAGACTGAGAGACATAAGCATGATTGATCAAAGTTTTTGAAACAATGTTTTTTTTTATAAGTATTTTTTTGATAACACAATAAAAAGAAAAAATCCAGGAAAACCATTAATTGTTTTTTTATACATATGATGTTTACTGTAGCTTTATTTTGTAAGCTTTCGTCTAAACCAATTAGCTCGCCTGGTTGATGAAGCGTTATTTCTATTATAAATTTTGTCCTAAGAGAATCGGTTACAATTAATTGACGCATCCGAATTTAACGGAGTTCTCATATTCACTGTGATACACATATAAATAGACAAAATAGCCATTAGATAATCTTGAAAGCTTCAACGAAAGTCTACATGTCTTTCTAGAGATAATTAATTTTCCAGCAGACTCAATTGCTATGTCTTCCGATAGTAAGCTGTCATTTTTTTTTGAAAATTGAATATATTGCGAAAGACATCTAGGTTTTTATTTAAACTTTCGGAATTATCTATTGACTGTGAAATTTATATATAAGCAAAACTCTTGATTTTGATTTTGAACACTTCTACTGATTAAAAGCAGACTCTTCTCTGAAAAGTTTCGAGTTTAGTATACTAGAATGGGTCACTTGTTACTAGCTTACAAGAGATGCATTTCAGTACGTGAAGGCTTTGAGTATTAGAAAACGACATGCTTCTGTCTACTTAATTAGTTGATCTTTGAAAATATTTTCAATCCAGAGCGTCCCAGTAACATGATACTTGTTGAATACTTCACTGACATTATCTGAGTCAACAGATACTCTGAACTAAGTGCATTTACTAATGTAACTCTCAAGTTTTTAATTAATATTTATATTGTTGTCATCTTACATAACGTATCATCGAAAGAAAATCAAGTTAAATATTTGTTCGATTTTTTTTGTCAAATAGAATTGTATATTTAATAAAGTTAATTATTTTCAAATATTTTTATGAACAAAAAAATGCGCCATATTATTCATTTAAATAAATATCATCTAATTTTCCTTAGTTTAATATTTTAATATAAATAAAAAGAAAAATATGAAAAAAAAATTATGAATAATAATAATGATAATAAAAATAATAATATATTAATTGCAAATCAATGGCAATTAGAACGTAAATTAGGTTCAGGTTCATTTGGTGATGTTTATCGAGCATTAAATATTCAAACAGGAGAATATGTAGCTATTAAACTAGAAACAAATAATGCTTATTCACAACAATTAGTATTTGAAGCTAAATTATATAAATTAATGAAAGATATACAAGGTATACCGAAATTATATTGGTACGTTTAAATGAATATTAATAAATAATAGAATAAAACATTTTGATAGGTTTGGTGAAGAAGGTAATTATAAATGTTTAGTTATGGAACTTTTGGGACCATCATTAGAAGATCTTTTTTATTTATGTAAACGAGAATTTTCATTGAAGACAATTCTTATGTTAGCTGATCAAATGATTTTACGTATAGAATGTTTTCATCGAAAATTTTATCTTCATCGAGAGTGAGTGTATAATGAATAGATGTTTATGTTGGATTTTCATTTTAGTATTAAACCAGATAATTTTCTTATTGGTATTGGAAAAGATTCGACTAAGGTTAGTTTATATCACATTATTTTAATGGGTATCGTTTATTTTAATATCACTCGTATGAAGATTATATATATCGATAATAAAAAAAAATATCTTGCATTTTATATTAGTTATTCAAAAAGCATTTGAATTCTGTTGCTAATAATAATTTAACAGATGCTTATGTGTTGTAAGTATTTGAGAATTAAATATCATATACTATAGTTATCGGATTGAATATTTGATTTATATTGAAAATTTGAAAGATATTGTTTTCGCATATTCTCTATAACAAATCTTTCTGAAAATAGAAATAATGTAGAGTTGAATAAATTTTACTAAATACAATAAAATAATAATTTTAGATATTTCTCATCGATTTTGGTTTAGCAAAAAAATTCTTTGATCATCGTTTAAATAAACATATATCATATAAAGAAGGCAAAAGTTTAACAGGCACACCTCGATATGTATCTGTATGTTTTTTTTCAATGAATTTATTGTAGAGAATCATGTTTTTTTTTTTAAATCTTTCTCTAAGATTTCAACACATCTTGGTATTGAACAATCACGTCGTGATGATATGGAAGCACTTGCTTATGTTCTTATTTATTTCAGTCGGTTTGTTATTTTCTTTTCTTTTCTTTTACAAACTTTTTATTAAAACCTATTTTATCAGAGGTACACTTCCATGGCAAGGCATAAAAGCATTAAATAAACGACAAAAATATGAAAAAATTTGTGAATTAAAAATGTCAATATCAATAACAAATCTATGTGCTGGATTTTCACCTGAATTTGCAATGTATTTAAATTATTGTCGTAGATTAAAATATACAGATGAACCTGATTATTTTTATATACGTCAAATATTTCGTAATTTATCTTATCGTCTTAATTATCAATATGATTATATATTTGATTGGATTGAATTAAAAAATCAAATATCTTCACATTGTTTAAATCAAAATCAACAACAATTAGAAAAAAATAGTATAATAAGTAATAATAATAAACTTATTTGAACATGATAAATGATGCAACATGTCTAGTTGAATATTACAATGCATAAATTTAACAAAGAATAAATCTTATTATCACCAAAAAATATTCATATCAAATTTTATTATAAAGTTTTTTTGTAAATATTATTTTTATTTTGAATAAAAATTGATAATTCTATTAATTGTTAAAATTGGTATAATGATCGTAGATGTTCTCAGTAGAGATGTCTAAGGAGTAAGTTTCAAAGTTTCATGAGATTGTACTAAGTTCAAAGATTACAGTCAAATCATCTTTTGTTTTGAGCGAAACATCTTATAAATTATACCTATCAAAGGAAAATCAAGAAACAAGACTAAAAGAAATGATATTCATCAACAGGATTTTAATCGGTTTCATATTGAGAAAAAAAATATTGTAAAGGAATTTTCATTTAATTTAGTTTATGTAGTAATCCAAATAATTTTTGCATCTCTTATTTTACTTTTGAACAGATTCATTATATTTTATGAAACTCACACAATAAAGAAATAATTTATATATATGAGGTATTATTGATGTACGGTCTGTGATCGTTTATCAGCATTTATCACATTTTGTAGGATCAATCCAAAATTTTTACCTCTATACTTTAACGCTCATTTTATATCATGTTTCACACAATTGGTAATGTGTTTTATACTGTATTTTAACAGAACTCTCAATAATTAGAAACTATTCATAGAAGAAGATCTCAACGTGATTTTATTTATTGTTATTACACATTGTTTTTTTCTGGCTTGAAAACAATAATATATACTGTTTTAATTACTTATCAAATTCTAAGGATACACAGTGACGGTCAAATTTATTCATACAGCTAAAGAAAATTTTGACAGCGCTATATCTCCGCAAGGATTAAGGCTTTTGAACTGCGACTTTCATCAGAATGTAGAGTAGTATGTGTAGTATACTTGTAAAAAGTTTCAGCTTGATCCACCATAAAATGTTTGTTTTAGATAACAAGAAAGAAAAATCATGTGTTTCAGTTTCGCTCAAAATTATTCATACAGTTCATATAAATAAAATATGAAAATATGGAAGTGGTGATTTTTGATTTCACGTGTTTGAGCTCTGTGGCAGCTGCAAACGATGTATCCAACGAAGTAATACGTTTTCTGCAGTTAAAAAAAGCGGTTTCTGGTCATAAAAATGACGATATTGATAAATTCTGACTCATTAAAATCGTTATATTTGCATGTACTATTGTATGAACTGTATGAATAAGTTTGAGCGAAATTGAAACACATGATTTTTTCTTCTTTGCTATCTAAAACAAACATTTTAGAAGGGATCAAGATGAGCCCTTTTTGCAAGTATATTACACATACTACTCTACATTCCAATGGAAACTGCATCTCAAAATGCTTAACACTTGCGGAGATATAGCGATTTCAAGATTTTCTTCAGCTGTATGAGTAATTTTGGCCGTCACTGTATATTGAGTTTAATGGATGCGTAGAATGTTAATCATATTCACACTCAGTATTACATTTTTAAATAAAAAAACTTTGGTTAAAAAAACAATAATAATAAATCATCGATTGAACTATTTTCAAACGATTAATATTGATTACAAATCGTCAAAAAATTCACTGATAATTGAATTTTTGTTTTACATTAAAATGATTTATTTTGAGATGAATATTATATGAAAATGAACTATTATAGAAAAACTATGAACTTCATTTAAGATTATCTGAACAACATTATTCAAATGAATATATTTATTTATGAAAAATAAATGACATCAAATAAATTTACGATCAGTCCTTCATTATATTCATATAGAAAAAAAAACGAGCAAAAAAAATATTCGTTCTAACGTGCTCGTTATGGTTGAATTCACATATATATATCTTTCGTTTTTTTTTCTTTTTTACTCTTAATCCAGCGATCGTATAAGTACGAACATATACATATGACATTGCAAATTGTAGTTATTTCATATTCCAATCAATAAAACTTTTTATTGCCTATGATTGATTAGTATCATTGTACATATCTTCCTTATACATATTAGCCATAAATATTTAAAACACTTTTCATTTAGTCAACGATAAATAAGCAAAAAGTATTCTTTTTTTGTACTGTAAATATTATACCAAGTAATTGCATTTGTAAGAATACAAATAATACAATAAGAAATAGGAGACGAAGGTAAATAATTTTTATTTATTAATAAAATATTTATAAAAACTTTTTATTATTAAAAACAAAATAGGGAATCCTTTTTAATACATTTCAACAGTCAAGAGATGAACATTGTTAAATGAATGATACCAAATGGGTTTCCTTATTCGTCTTTATAAACGATAATTCCATATGTCCAGCGACATTTCTCCACTTTATGAGTTGTTATTCGTAAGTATCCATTACATTTTTAGACATAACGAAAATGAAAATCAATGATTATTATTATTTGAGATTAATTATCGTAGCTAAAGTGATATAAGTTTTAAAAATGAGTTCTTATAGTAAAGCAAAAGAAAAAAATTCATTTGAATCATTCTTTTTTTAATTCAATAATGAAATAAAAAAATTTCATGACTAATTTCAAGAGTGATGATTTTTCGATTTTAAATAATTAAAAACTCTAGTTAGATCATTGTAATAAAATATTCATTTATAATAACAACTTTTTAATTATCATTTTGATTATATATTTAAAAGTAATATTTTCTTGTTGTTTTTTTTTTGTTTAGAAGATAAATTGAATAGCAACACAATTGACAAAGTTTTAAAACTTTTTTTTGGTTTCAATGAATTTTAACGTTAAAATGACGCATATTCAAAAATCAATTCTGATTCCTCTCACTGAAATGTATTTATTCCTAAATCCTGATATGTAATGGTAATACTTATGATAACAAATTCTACTTCATAACAATTCGTATTTCAATTGGATTGTACATATGAAAATTACACGTTTGTGAATAATATTTGCACTCTTTTTACCATACAAACTATTTATTATACTGACAATGATGGTAATTAGTTTCAACACATACCGACCTATAGAAACAGTAAATTATACAGCGTAAGTTTGTCAATAAATCAGAAAATATTTCTGATTAAATTTTGTGAAGATCAAAAGAATAAAATCTATTATTCATTTAAAATTCATATCTCGAAACAGTAAATTTCAAGACTTCGAAATCTAAAGAATTTGTTATGTTTCTCTTGACTTACTAACTTTAGCATGGAAATATTGATAAATTACTATACTTCTAATCATTACCACTGACAAGGAAAACTACTTGAGCTGATACCTAATGTTTGATGTAAGATGCCAATGATGATGTAGAGCCTGTTGATATTAGAAGATACTTAGAAGGATTCTTCTCCACACGCTGCTCTTTTGGAGTTCTATGACCATTACACTGGATTTTTTACCTTTGGTACAGACTATATAAGAAAAAGTGAACAAATAAGTTTTGGTCTCCAAATTTGTCTATGAACGAAGCTCGAACTCATTAAAATAGCCTAAGCCTTTTAGCCAAAAAGACTGGCTTGTTCTTGTGATATCAATCCAATTAAAAACTCATGACAATGCACCAAAATGATGAAAAATCTAGTGTTTTAATGGATTTGATATTTCGAGTATAGACCACTCTTTTTGACTGAAATGTTTAAAAGATTTTAATGACTTCAATAGCTGTCTATAAATAAAATTTCAGGTCAAAATTCAATAGTCTAGTTTTATTTATGAAGTCTGTTCTAATATGTAAAAAAAATCAATATAACGGCTATAACTCCAAAAGGGTAGCAAATGGGAAAGAGTCCTTCTAGATTTCTTTTAATTTCAACAGACTCTACATAATAGCAGAAGTTTCATTTCAAAACGAGGTATCACCATGGCTCGTTTTCTCGTGTGTAATTATTATGTTCATTATCTATCGTGTTTGCACTTTGGCTTTATTCTAATTTATCTTTACGATAGATTTCAAAGATAGTCAAATGGATGATAATAGGTATAGAAATGTGACAGTAGTTGAGAGTGAAGTATCTTGCGAAGAAAACTGATTTTTAGTTTAGAATTATAATTAGATTAATACGGAAATGGATGAATATTCTGAAAGCTTGTCAATATCGAGTTTAAAAGATTGCCTTAGGACAACATTTATTCTAACAAAAGTCGCAATAGACTAGCATATTTATTTTTCGTTGCTTGATTAGAGTTTAGTAGATTTGAATAATGATGTATGTTGATAACAAATAAAATCAATAAGAAAATTCTTGTTCGTTTTTCTGCACATATAAAATATCTTATTAAAAACAATAAAATCTTCAATGCTTTTTGTCTTCTCTAGCTGCTGGATTAGTTTGAAATTGTTATTAATTACAAACACCTTTGAAATTTCTCTATTCAATACACGATGCAACGTATTTTATTTACAATTTATCTATAATTTAGAGAATCTTGGATTCTCTTGATTTTTTCCAGTATTTTTCAAATGGTTCCTACTTTTCGCTCAGCACGCTCCCTTTACATGTAAGTATTTCATTCTTCTTTTTTTATTGAATTAAATCATTGGTAATTTTGATTATTATTCGTATATTATAGACATCATGGATATATATACATCTCCCATTTTAATTTTACATACATTCAATCCTCTATATCACTCATCAAAAGACATTTTGCAATACTTATCAAGTGGTATACCAACCATATTTTTATTCTTTAAGCTAAAATGTTGTTTGTTTTCGTCTGTATTGATAAAGTGTTATTTGGATAATAAATATGTTGAAATATTTCGAATGAAATTTCGATACAAGTCAAATCGAATTATAATCTATTCGCCTCTGAGAGTTTAAAAAAATATTTTATTTTACTTATTTAATTATTGAAATACAAAGAAATAAATATATATATATATATTCTCGAAAACTAGATTTTTAACATATGAGATGACCAAAAAAAAAATTGAAAAGATTTTCTACATATTTTAAAACCTTTTATTTGATTTCAACGTCAATC